GGAGTTGTCATCTTGTAAAATAAAAAAAAATTTAAAATATTACAAAAAAATATATTATATTATTTAATTAAGTTATTTTATAATTAAATTTTATTTTATAATCAGGCAATTCGGACAGTTTGAATGCAAAAGTACAAATCAAACCAATTATATAAATTTTAAAATTTTATAATCTAAATCAACCTAATTTTATATTAATTTAGTTTAATTTTTTTATCAAATTAAATCAATTTAAGTCGAATTAATAAGATTGAATTGAATATGAACATGCCTACTTGGCACTGGGCACCGTCTTATTATGCCATGCCTTGTTAATTGTGTTGTTCTGTTATGTGATTGTGTATGTTAAAATTGCAAACTTTTAATAATAATTGATAATTATTTTTCTATCTAGTGCAGAAAAAGCAAAACGAGTCCATTATCATACCAACAATGAAAAAAAAAAAAAGGCTGTATCGAATAATTTGGCAGGTTTACATATTACGTATTACTATGGTAATGATAAAGAATTTTATTGCAAAAATTTTTATCATGCTACCAATTAAGCTCCTTTTGAATATGACTTTTTATTTAACTAAATTTGTTACTATTTAAAAGTTATATTAGATTTCAATTAATATAAAATAGAATTAAGTTACATCTAATAAAAAAAATTTCTCAATATTTATTTTTTTATTTATAAAATTTAAATTTAAAATTTTATTAAAAAAATCGGAACTTTTTTTATTTTGACTAACACTACCCAACAAAGGACCGATTTCAGTTAAGAGAAAGCTTAGAAATAATAATAAGAATTGTTTAAATGGTCTTTAAATCATGGGCTTAGTCCGTCGGCTATTTTGTGTTGTTCCGGCCTCGTTCCCTTGCTGTGTGTTTTGGTTTTCTTTAATTTTTATTTCAACTTTACCATTTTTTTTTTTTTTGATCAACAAAGTGAATTTATTAATATTGGAGCACAAGGGTACTCCTGCCCATTACACAAAAGAAACATCTGCTAGCATGATAGAATGGCAAAAAAAATAAAAGCATCCACCACCAGCTGCAGAGCAAATAGCATCTCAAAAAGCCCTATACATATTCAGGGTAACGACTTCCTCATGCATAGAGCAACTGTACCAATTCCTTTTGCCTCACAATGAGGAGAAAGCCACGTACCTCTCCAAACTTTAAGCTGTACCCATTCCTTTCTGCTGTTTATGGAACAATTTCTGCATTTGTTTATATTTTCTGACTGATAGAGCACATTCAACTGGTTTTACCTTCCATTCATGGAAAGAAAAGACACACCCATGAATCTTATTCTTAATCCAGAAAAATGATTTGGCTTGGACCATCTCCATTAATCTTCCTCTAATGATATTTCCATTGTTAAACACCTCACCATTTCTCCAATACCATAAATACCATGCAGCCACAAGGAAGATACAAGCACCCATCTCCTTCCCTATTATCCTACCCAAGTCATTTCAACTTTACCATTGATTTGTTGTTATATTGAAAGACGAAAATATTAAAATACCTTTAAAAGGAAACCCATACTTTTCAAATACGAAACGGACCCCAAGTCGGTCTTTTCCTTCCTTTTCTGTAAATCAACTCAACTCATCTTCTTTTTTCTTTCAATCTTCATTTTATACTTCTAGTTCTCACTCTCTTTTAATTTCGGAAAATCCAACTGGAATCAATGGTCTAAGAGGCCAAGAGAAATGAAATGCATTCGCCCAACTTTTTCGACGATTTTGTTCCAGTGGAAACCATGCTTCACAGTATGATTAAATTGAGGAGAACAGAGAAAAAAAATTTCCTCTATTTAATTATCAAAAAATCTAAAGGGATAAAGAGAATAAAAAACCTTTTGCATTCATTGATATATATCTTTTTATTCTCCTCCCCCTCCTTTATTCCCCTCAAAACCCTCAAACCAAACATGTTATAGAAGTTTGAGGTAATTAATAGCTATAAATGAACCCACATGAGACTCGATTGCTTGGAGCACCGTAAACTTTATTAGAAACGGGGACAAGATTTCTATCCCTCACCATCAAACCAGCAGCAATATAAATCTTAAGCAAGAATAATGCATACCGGACATAAAAACACACCAAATTTATTGTTCGGATAAATAGGAGCAATTGTTATAGACACAAAGATAAAAGGGGTCATTCATTTTACAAGGCACCATCAAGTTCCTTTCTGATTGACATCAAAGGAAAACTTCAACCATGGACGAAATGCCTGTACTTCCTAACTAACGAAAAGTAGTAGAAAGAATGTACTTCCAAGGGATTCCTTGAAAGGAAAAAACTATTAGTCAAAGCAGCATTGTTAACAAGCACTATGTCTCTAGCTCAAGCAACTTACTGTTTAGCAGTTGAGCTTTTGTATCCCCCCCGAACCATAGAAGATAGATCATTCAAGACAAATATGTAAGTTATTGGAACAACTGAAGAAAGTTGTTTGCACATGCCATTGGCTTGACCAGTGGCGGAAGCACGTTGGCCAAAGCACGTTGGCCTAGGGTTTGGCATGGACCCTACCCTGAGCCAAAAAAATTTGAAGAAAGTAAAGGACCCAATTGTCTAGGCCCTACCTTGTAGTTGGATGAATTTGAAGGAAAATAAAATATTTAGGATTTTAAGAAACTAAAACGAAAAGAACGCTAGAAGAAATATATAAAATATTGAAGTGGAAAGAAAATTAAAAAAATAAATATGTAACCAATACTTGAATAACTAAAATCCAAGAGAAGAATAGATTTAATACCTTGAAAAATGTTATTGCAAAATTTATTTCTCCTTGTAGCAAACCAATACAAATGTTTGGATTCATAATTTCTCATGGTTACAATTTCCTTCTTTTCCACTTTTAATTTGTTTTTTTCTCTTTGTTTCTAGCTACCTCCACTTCCATAGCTTTGTTCAAGACTTGAACTCTTAAAATCAATGAAACTCATTTTTAAAAAATTACAATTTTATTTTATATCCTCTCAATTAGATCCCTTAAAAAACAAGTATTACCCAATACAAATTTCTAAGTATTATCCCATAATTTATCCAGATTAGCTTCCAATACACTATCCAACTAAGCCCTCACAAAGCTTCTAAAAGAGAATTTACACAAATCCTTCTTAATTCATTGAAATAGAGGAAGATTAAAGGAGAATTGAGGGTTTGATTAGGTTAGGTGTCATCGGAGAAGAAATAGGAATTCATATATTTTAAAATAATACTATAGTTACAATGCTAATCATAACTTATAACATTAAATAAATATAATGTGGTATTAAATAAGTATATATATACAATATTATAAGTAGACCTCTAAATAAAAAAAACTAATTATACAATGATATATAATACTATAAATTTATAATATCAAGTAACATTGTAACTATAACATTTTCGATATTTTAATCTACTAAAATGGAATAGCCCACGTTAACTCTTCAATTGGATTTGCAATTTTTTTTTTTTTTTTTTTTTTTGTCTAGTCCTTGCTCTTTCTTTTGTGTTACAATTTGGTCTTTCGTATTTTAATTTTTTATTTACTTTATTTATTCTATTCTATATAACTATAGTATATTAAATCGAGGTAAGACAAGAAGGCCCTACCCAAGGAGAAATCCTGGTTCCGCCACTGGACTTGACATTAGGACAAGGCTATCATTCACAAACAAAAAGGTATTGTTACAGAGTGTTATGATGTGCAATTTGAAAGTTTAAAAAGGGATATCACGGTGCAAAGGTACTCACCACCGCCAAGAATGTAACAATGTTTGGCTCCAAATCAGGAGCTTCATAACGAATGAAAGCACCCTTGTTTCTCACTTCGACATCTGAAAATCCCAAGGATGTTTCCTTGGGAAAAACACTCCGACTGTCAAGTTAGCAATGCTTTATATTCTAGAGAGAAAGGCTCTCCAGAAGAGTAATTACAGAGAGAGAATCGTCAAGGAGTTAATACCTTGTGAAGAGATAGGTGGAGGGGGTATTTATAGGCTCTCGACTCGTGCCATCCCACCAGGTGTCAACACCACATTGACGCACTTATCTAAAGTCACGTGGGTTCGTGCCCTGTTTATTGTGTTTATGCTTTGGGCTTCGAACCTTTTGGGCGTTATTGTTAATGTTGGCCCAGTCTCCCAACAATGTGTAAAATGAAGTGTTAAATTTGTTAGAATTGTTGTATTTCTTGGTGTAAGTGCTGGCCAATTAGTTTTATGAACTTATTGAATTACATTATGTTTGTTTTGTCAAATTTGTTTCTATTGGATGGATTGTGCTTGTTATTTAGTTAATGAAAGTAGGTTTTGTGCATTCCAACAACAACTCAAGTGGATTTGCGAATTTTATCAAATTTGGTTTGTGCATTTGGGTTCTAAAGGGATCTAGATATAGTGGCATTATCATTTTTCAAAAAAAAAAAAACCTACACTGACGAAAGGGCATCAGTGTAACTCGCATCAAATAGATTGCAAAAACAATCATCAGTATATCCTAAGAAGAATACTGACGGATAATGTGTCACTAAACACCATAATATATAATGACAGAATAATACAGTACTAATGTGTTGTCATCAGTATATCACGTTCGTCAGTATAGTAAATTGTCTAAGGCATTATTCATAAATAACTATTAGTGTAGTTCTCTATTAGTATACTGACAACTCTTTCTAGTAAGCATAAATGTATACCGATGCAATCTATACTGACGAGCTTATTCGCTATCGGTGTAGTCTATAGGGACTATAATGAAGGTAAAATAATATTGATTTATTTATATTTACCATAAACAAAATAATGGCTTTTTTTTTTTTTCGTCAAATGAAAATTTTATTATATTGAAGTGCAAGGAATACTTCAACCCATTAACATCACATTTTACTATTACAATTTAAACATCTATTGCTTTGAAACACAACTCCGGATAGGTAATCCAATCATACAATAAGAATCCACATCCACCAACTCTATCTGTTATCCACAAAAAGGATTTAGTTTGAAGTACCTCCACTAATCTATCAACATCCATTTCCACCTTATTAAACAAAATAATGACATTTAATGTTTAATAAAAATGTCATAAATATAATAACCTTAATAATAACAAATATATACAATTGTTTTGTCAACAAATATATAAAATTATTTTGTCAACCCAATTGGCTCCAAAGACATACTTTAAGAACGCTATCAATATACATAGTAATTAAAGTTTGCTAGGGAAGCTTCTTTTCGCGGGAGCTATAATAAGTTTGCATTCCTTGCATAATAAGACCTGCTAAGGCACTGAGGAAGACCCAGAAGCTCCAAGTACTCCTAAAATAGGTATGAATGAGTTCTATGAGGTGTGATTTTTTGCTGTTGCAGTAGTCATGGATATTACGTCTCAATTCTAAGTCTATCTTAAGATTTGGCACCAGGATGCCGCTCATCTTGTTGAACAGCTCCGCTACAGCTTCATCGCTTCCTAATCCGTGGGCCAGCACGCCTGCATCTCTCAGTTCCTTCACATCCTCCCCATTATCAATCAAGGAGTTGAGGAATGACAATTGCGAGGTGATCTTGCAAGTTTCTTTGAAATCTGGACACAGCTCATACGCTATCAAATTCAGCAACAATGGCACAGTACTGGTATCGTGCAAAAAAATGGGAGCCAGCGTAAGGATTGCCAGGCAATTACGTTCATTGAAATCAATGTCTGTGATGGCACCTCCATTTTCCCTCGCTTTAAAATGAATACCCTTGTCTTTCAGCTCCCTTACGTTGCGAATTGAAGGCCAGTGTTTGCTTTTGTTAGGAACAGAATCGCTTTTTTTTCCTATTCCGATACCAGCACATCCAACAGCAGAAAGTTCTTCATCATTAGTCAATGTCTTCCAAAAATCATCTTTCTTAGTCGGATGTTTTTTCTCTCCCTTATAATCAATCGTTAGTCTTCTTCGCAACAACTCTAGAAGATGAGGAGGAGGAGGCTCAAAGTAATCAATGTCAGTTTGGTGTTTTTGCGCCGGACTCAGACTCGAGAAACTCCTGTTGATGAATTCCTTGATTAACTCCTTGAAAAACGGCTTAGGTTGAAATTCTGGTCCTAATTCTTCCCCTGAGAATTCAGCGAACGAGTCTATCAATATCTCAAGAAGATGGTAGGGCAGTTGGTTCTCAAGTAAGAAAAAATCAGCCTTCTCAATTCTGACTGGATCATTATCACTGAAAAACTCCCACGCATCGTACACATCAAGGGCTATGAATTGCAACAATGCACAGCCATCCACTAGGAACATCCAGGCCAACTTCTCATCATTCCATGTCTCTAGTTGTTCGATGTCGTTATAGCAGTTCCTCAAGTTTTTAATCTCCCTCTTGACGTTCTTGTAGAAATTTTCCTCCTCCCCTTTCTTGATGAACATTCCCGCCAGTTTTCGCTTCCACTCCTTACCTCTTTCGATTCTTGAATCTTTTTTAGTCTCTCTTCGATGGTTGAGTGGACCGATCGCAACAGAAGTTGGTATGAAATATCGTTCGCAATCCTGACCGTAGCAAGAGCGCACGATGTTCAGAACCTTCTGAATTTTTAATGGCTTGTCTGATGTCGATGGATCTGCATCGGCGTCCCTCAATGACTTCAAATTCGTACTCTCGTCGTTGGTGATCTTTATGTCATCTGATGGCTTGTCTGATGTCAATGGACCTCCGTCCGGTTCCTCCGATGGCTCCAAATTCTCATTCTTGTCTTCGGTGACTGTGATCTGTATTTCATTACGGGCCATATTGTGCAAGTGATAAGTCTGCTTGTTTTGCCGCAACCTCAGCCTTGCAAGACAAAAATATATATTACATGAAAGATTTTTCGGTAACATGATTATGCTTCTATATTAACATTGGAATATTAAATTACTGCTTCACAATGATAACACGTTTACCGTATGGTTCACTCCTTTCGGTTATTTCTCATTATGGAGAAGTCTAATGTAGCACAACCAATTTCCACAATCCTTAGTGGATCAAATTACCTACTCTGGGTTCAAGGAATGCGTAGTTTCTTGAAGGGACGAAAACTATGCCAATATAAGTTAGGCGATATTAAACCTCCAAAGAAAGTTACCAGCGAGGCAGATGAGAAATTTGCAGAACACTTAACTAGGATAGCAAAAATCATTAGATTATTACTTGGTTACGTAACTCCTCCATTCCTTCCATCCACCTCCAACTTGGATGGTATGATACAGGTAAGGAGGTATGGGATAGGCTTGCAACAAGGTATGCTACTTCTAATATATCTAGTTAGTATCAATTATGAGAAGAATTACATAATTTGAAATTGTAACATGGTGAGTCTATCACTAGTTTTTATGGCAAGATGGAAGCATGCCTGGGGTGTTAGACTATTGGTGTTCATACTATATTAGTATGTTCATATTTTAATTGATTGTATATAATTAAGTTAATTGATTTTGTACTTAAAGAATATTATGTTGTATAGACCTAATTTATTTTGATACTAAGGGCCCATTTGGTATGGTAGTTTGGGGGTAATGATTAGCTATTTTGCCCAAACTGTTAAAGTAAAGTGTTTGATAAATTTATTTATTTTTGAAACCGTCACAAACTAAGTATTTGGTAAAAAATTTTATTCAACAGTATTGGATTAACAGATAACAATTAGAGTCCAATTTGCTAACAAATTAAGAAAAATTTTTTGTATCAAACTATTAGTGGATTATAATTTGTTAATATCATTGACAAATTTATCCATTTTAATTTTTAAAAATTTTTACTATAATTTTTAACTCATACTTATCAAATTAGTTTTAATTTCGTTTTTTCTCTTCAATAATATTAAGTAATTATTATATTTTTATTTGTTTACATTAATTTATAATTAAAAGATTGCATGGGCTTCACAAATAAAATTTACTAATTAGATGAAATGATTAAAATTTTGTTTTTATTTAAAAACAATATAATTTTTTGTTAAAAATAGAAATAAGTGTTATTTTTTTAAAATTA